ACAACACTCTTAGGATTGTTAGTAATGTCTCCGTTCGCATAGCTTGAAACTATAAAAAGATCGACAAGCCTGTCTGCTATTTCGTAGGCCGCCAAGATGATTCGCAAAAATTCACACATGGAGTTCTGACCAATTCAGACACACTATACTCGTCTTTTCCGTCGTAATGAACGCGACTTAAGATGCTACTGCTGTTTAGGTTTTTCCGCGGTTATCGGTAGAAGAATTTGCTATTGGATATCATCAGGACGCATTGAATTCAGACCGAGGCAGGCAGGTGTGGATGCTGAGCAACTATGAAATGTTATTGTCGAACTGGATGTGACTGATCAGCATATAGTTTACTTAACCATTAGTGTGAATGTGACATTTTACCAGAAATCGAAATATAAATTAGGAAATTCCAAACAGGAATGGTCCGTGCCCTAATGCGATTTGACTTCTGAATTGACGTTTGAAAAGTCATTTCTACTTGTTGATGCGCAGTGAATTTGTGGGACCTTCTTTAAAAGAAAAAAAATCCCAAAACCAGCTCATGAGTTTTTTTTTTATTTAATCTTGAGTCCTCTACTAAACAACAGTCTATTCTTGGAGAAGATGACTGCGTGAATTAATGAATTAAAAGAGCGAGTGGTCGTAGTTTTAGCCTTTCAGTGAAATCATAGATTCATTTATTACAATCGGTCACAGCTAAGTTCTCTTGAAGCGGCTTTCCGTGCAAAGAACTCACGAGTACTCTAGTATAGTACTCTAGAAACCACTGCAAAGTTTTTTTGAGTACTCTACACTAAACAACAGTCTATTCTTGGAGAAGATGACAGCGTGAATTAAAGAATTAAAAGAGGGGGTGGTCGTAGTTTTAGCCTTTCAGTGAAATCATAGATTCATTTATTGCAATCGGTCATGGCTAAGTTCTCTTGAAGCGGCTTTCCGTGCAAAGAGCTCGCGATTAATGAATGCGTTGAAGCTTCCAGAGAATTCTCGGCTTCCCCTTTTTTCCTTCTTTATTTGAAAATGTCCGTTGATTCTGGATTTTGAAACACTTCATGTTGCGGCATAATATATATATTTTTCAGTCTGGTTGAGGCGCTAGGGACGCAGGAATGTCTGCAGTTGGAACTGACCCTTCGGTCCAATAAACAAGAAAAACTTTTGAAAACTTCGCAACTTTTTATCAAACTGACCTTCTAATGGCTGTTCTTTGTCTATTGCAGTATTTCGAAAACTATTTCACTGCTCGGTGACTCAATATAATCATAATCAAAGCGAAACATGTCGGTAAAATAGCCAAAGAAATTTGTACCCAGCCACTCAAAGCTGTTTTCTTTTTTCTCGGAACTCCTCCGAGTGACAGCAATGTTAAAGCCATTGTCTGATCTGAGGTTTGTCTCCCCGCCCGGGACTTTGTATGCAGAACAATTTACACTTCGCTAAAATCTGAGATACTACTGTAGTTAGGCTGGTATTCAGTTTGTAATTAGAGCAGTGTTTAAGGTTATAGGTTTATGATCAAACTACCAAGTCAAAAACTCTAGTTTCTTAAATTTAGATACTCTAATATACAACTACAACGCTCGCTTCTCAGGATTCTTGGGCAGTGTCGTTCGTACTGCTGCATTTTTATTATTGTGGCTTGCAGAGGTTGTCGAAAGCCATGATCGATTTGTATGCGAAATAAGCGCCCACTACGGATGGTATCAGTGGGATGATAGTTAGCGCCCATGCTGGATTCGGTATATCATCAGAATCATATCTTTGAACACCGTGAAAGTAGTAGTAACTGAATAATTGGAAATTATACGTAATGAACGTAAGCAGAGAGAAGATGCTAAAGGCTATGTCCCCGATCTTCAAGTCATTCGCTGTCGAACAGTCGCCAAAGTAGAAGTGAGCAATTATCGTTTGAGGGAGAGCCTTTGACCACACTTTCCCCAACGTCATTCAAATCTTCATGGTTCTGTCGGTTCTGCCTTTACTACAGTCGCCTTCGCAGCATAGTGTAATGATTATGTATGAGGGTATTGCAACACGGAACATAGTGATGATAATTCCAATCACCAGGAAGGTAATAAGAGCCGAGAAGACACCCTCTCTGACGCCCTCTACCAGCAACACGGAATAGAGGAAGGCAATAAGAGCCGAGAAGACACCCTCTCTGACGCCCTCTACCAGCAACACGGATTAGAGGAAGGCAATAAGAGCCGAGAAGACACCCTCTCTGACGCCCTCTACCAGCAACACGGAATAGAGGAAGGCAATAAGAGCCAAGGAGACACCCTCTCTGAAGTCGTTGGATATCT